ATCAAATAGCCCAAGATTACTTTTATATATTTTTTCGATCTCTCTTTCTACAACCTTAATACAATAAAATGTAATTGGCACATATTTCCTTTGAGGTAAAACACATACTGAAAATAAGCAGCAGGTCTACTGTCTCATGAAGAAGTCACCTCATCATAACTACAAACAGGACTCATTAGGTTCTGTCACAATGGCATAGCAAGAGCTTCTCTGCTTCCTCATTCAGGGAGTTAGAATGAGGCAAGGGAACACTTGGAATTCCATAGCTCTCTGAAAATCCTCTGAAATTATGAGCAATTGGATTTATTCCTTTGTCGCTCAGGGAACCTTCCAGGTCTCATTGAGGAGGGACCTGAGGGTCTCTAAAACTAGAGCTGCATTGGATGAATAAAAATGCCAAGCAAGGAAGCCCCAACCAACCACCCAACCAGCCAGCGTAAAATTGGACAAACTCGGGCTTCCCTGGTGGCGCAGTGGTTGAGAGTCCGCCTGCTGATGCAGGGGACACGGGTTCGTGCCCCGGTCCGGGAGGGTCCCGCATGCCGCGGAGCGGATGGGCCCGTGAGCCATGGCCGCTGAGCCTGCGCGTCCGGAGCCTGTGCTCCACAACGGGAGAGGCCACAGCAGTGAGAGGCCCGCGTACCGCAAAAAAAAAAAAAAAAAAAAAAAAATTGAACAAGCTCCAGAGCTATGTTAATCCCACAATCTTCATTCCTAAAAGGGACAAAGTCTCACATATCTGAGAAAAGGATCCATAGGCGGCTGTAGTACTTTATACTTTTGATATTCATTAATTTTAGACAACATAACTCGTTTATCACCATTACTTTTTTTTTTTTTTTTCCGGTATGCTGGCCTCTCACTGTTGTGGCCTCTCCCGTTGTGGAGCACAGGCTCTGGACGCGCAGGCTCAGCGGCCATGGCTCACAGGCCCATCCGCTCCGTGGCATGTGGGACCTTCCCGGACCGGGGCGCGAACCCGTGTTCCCTGCATCGGCAGGCAGACTCTCAATCACTGCGCCACCAGGGAAGCCCTAGCACCATTAATTTTAAAATCCCCTCTTCCACACAGCTCACTCATATTCTCCTCTCTGATTTGGCAATTTTTTTCCATAGGGTGGGGGTGGAGGAGCAGAATTATGTCTATTTCTTTATTCTATTCCATTCTAAGATCCAAAGTATAAGATAACTCTTCCAAAAATTTATGCAAAATGTATGCAAAATATAGTATGACTTTACTCTGAAATAAGTAAATGTATTTTACCTACCTTTGAGCTATGAAATATATGAACATATTTTATTTATCTCTAAGAATTGTATAAGCAATCTGTCTTTAAGCAAGGTGAAAGCAGTGTACCTCTTGCTTAAGAGAAAAGGGTTTCTTAGCAGATTTTACCACCTGATCTTGGGCATGTTATTCAACCTTTTTAAAGTATCAGTTTTCTCATTTACAAGTGAGGATTAATAATAGTACCTACCTAATAGGAGAACCGTTAAAGGGATAAGGCAAGAGTTAAAGAGTAAGAGTAAGAGAGTTAAAAGAGATAAGGCAAGTAAGATACTTTTACACATCTAAGATGTGGTACATACAACTGGCCATTACTACTGGTAACCCCAATGGCAATATTTATATATTGAATAAGTTTTATATAGTAAAATATGAGAAGGATAAAATAGTTAGTAGAAACGAATATGGCACAGTGGCTAAGATACCAGGCTATTCATTTCAACAACAGAATGAGGAAATAAATTCAGAAGAAATGTTGGTCTAACAAAATGAAGGATCTAATATATCTGTGAGGTTAAACTCAGGAGAGGTATGATGGATATAGTGAAGACTTGTCATGAATTAAATAAGTGAAATAAAATGAATCTGCATGAGTTTGATGTGACAAATTTGGTGAAGAAAATGAAATATATTAAAAGATATGTGGCTTTTGACTGTTGACTATTTATGTGCCAGACACTGTGAGAGGTGCTTTCATCTCATTTAATTCTTTTACTTAATTAATAAATATATTATGAAGTAGATATTGTTTTATCCTCATTTATTATGTACTCTCAGTTTAATAGATAAGGAAACTTTGTTTCAGAAGTATTAAATAATTTATCCAAGGACAGGTCAAGGGCACAGCCAGGGGCAAGAATAAAAATGAATGTCTACATAGCATATGCATAAATAAAAAGAAAAACATCTAATTAAAATGTGTTTTTTCTTCCACCTTGGCAAAAATATATTTGTGACAACCTGGAAGGCCTGATACCAATGCAGAATTTTCAGATCACTGGAATTCAACCCAAGAATGGGATGGGCAGTACCCTTGCCAATGTTCCTGTCCCATTGCCCTTTCCATTCCTTGCTTTGTCACACACATAGAGGGATACCCTAACCTGCATGTCTCAGTTTCATCTACTTTTCCTATAAACAGCCACCTCCTGGCCATCCCCCCAGGCCTAGGGGTTCTCATTCCTGTGATGTGGTCTAACCTTGGAAAGACAGTCTTGAGAAAGACGGTAACATGCTTGAGACTACAGGGTGCTAGGGCCTTAGTATGATCTACAGTGGAGGAGGGAAGATGGTCCTGGCTCTGGGTTAGCATATCCACCTGACCCTGTGTCTGTATTCTTTGCCCTCTAAGGAGGACCATGACTCAAGGAAGGCCAGAGTGAAACTTGTGTGGCTTAAAGTAGGAACCCCTCTTGTCTGAGTTTAAGGGAGGTCCTATCAAAGGCCATTCTGATTGCAAGTTTGGAAGTCCAGATGAGTTTGACTCAAAAGCTCATATATTTCCCAGTACTGAATATGGCCTTATTTCTTTCTGCTTTTCCATCAGACTGAGATATTTAGGTTTCAAGATGCAGTTATAAAAGTACATGGCAGTGAAGAAAGACAGTGAGAGAGAGAGGATAAAAGAGGAAAGGAGAAGAGTGTGTAGTGACAGTGAGGCAGGTAGAGGGCAAGCTCAGAAAAAGAAAAAAGCTCTATATGGAGCTGTAAATGTAATAGTGGTTTGAGGATTACTTGATAACATAATAATACAAATTGGCTGTAATTTAAGCAGCACTTGAATTCCTCCTAAACCAAACACTAATAAGTAAATATTATAATTTCATGATGTTTTAAATGTTGGGGGCCTCTTCATCCAACTACATAGTAGACTAACTCATTACTATTCTCAAAATCATTAATATTTTATTCCTGTGTATTGTTTGCTATAGAAAAATAATTTTGCTGTAAACATGGAAAATGGCTAAGAAGTGCAAGAGTTGTTGAGGAAAGATAATTTAAAACAAAATCTCCTGTCACCCCAGAAAACCTCTCCACAAAAGTAGAAGAGAAGGAAAACAGTTTTATTGCTGAATAAGCATTAAACCAGAATGTGATACACGTCACAGACAATCTGATGGAGAGATTGCAAGGACAGAAAGAAATCTCACCCTTTTATACAGCCAGGCAGATACAACTCACTACATACCTGTTCTCAAGATGAACAATAACTAGTCCTCAAGTAAGAGCACTTGACATCACCAATTGTCACACATGGTTTGTCCTAAATTTGCTTGGTAGTTGGGGTAGCCACCTGTGTTTGCTAATTGCCTTTATAAGAAAAAAAGTACTTTCTTGTATCTTTAAAAATCATAAAAGAGGTAGGTTTGTGCTTGGAGCCAGACACCAGCTGAAGTTATGTTCTTATCACCTAGGACATAGGGGAGCTCTCTCCCTTGATGACAGCATTTCAAAAAGATGGTCACCAATCCCTCGAAGAAACATTCTTGGGTTGCTTATATAACCTTTAAAAAGATTTACAAACATTTTAAAGATGTAGACAAAGAACTCACAATTTTCTAAAGTAAATGATCTAAAAACGAGGAGAGTCTCTCTTCCCTTATTGTCAACAGAGAGAATTGTCTCTTATTTTTATTTGTATTTGCTCTTACATAGTCTTCAAGTTTTGCTTACAAATCACACATTTTATTTTATTGTCTAGTTAGTGACCAAAATGCATGTCTTCCACAAATTTACAAGAATATCATAGTTATTAAGGCCTAATTCTAAAGTATTTTAATTTTATCATAGAGATTTAAAAAAACATAAATGGTATGACAGAAAGCACAAAATAACTCATGTAATTCAGTGTATATTACCTTAACAAAAGGTCTTTGTTGATGAATGCATTTATTAAATAAATATTAATTGAGTGTCCTTTATGGTTCAGGCACATTTCAAGACATCTGGAATACCCCAGTGAATAAAACAGGCAAAAATCTTGAGTTTATAGAGTTTAAAATCTGGAAGGAGGAGACAGTTCATAAACAATAAACATTATAAGTAGTAAACATGATATACTACAGGGTGACAATTTCTATGGAATAAATTAGAGTAATATAATGATAATTGGGAGGATTAAAATGGGGGTTGCAAATTTACACTGTCAGAGTATGCCTCACTGAGATGACATTTAAGCTAAGATTGGAGGTGAGTAAATGTTAATTTATGAGTAAATGTTTTCATCTTTTTTTCTTTGTAGAAATATGGAAAAGAGAATCAGTTATGTTATTTTAAATTTATCAGCTGTTACTAAGCCAAGGACAGTGTGGATCCAACATGGTAGAATATTTTGATGAGAGGAGGTTGAACAATGGAACTTGGAGCTTAGCGGTAGACAATGAAGCAGATGGGGAGGTTTCTGCCCTGTCCATGAGAGGAAGAATTTCTACTACACATCAATTAAATCTTCACAACTCCATTCATCTCTTTCTTGAAGTCTTAGAAATATGACAAAAAGATATGGGCATAGTGGTTAAGTCAATAAGGGGTGTATGTTGTTCCAAGTGCCACCAGAGTAAAGGCACTTACACAAAATAAAATATGGCTTTTTATAGTGTCACAATCCAATAACCCTTTATAGTGCTAGCAATACTGTTTTCAAATACAATCTTCTGTTATTCGCATTAGGTCCTTTTTTGCTCAGTAGCTTATCCTTTTGTGACTCAAACAGGAGAAAGAAATCTCTTGTTGGTTCACTCCTTAACAGTGGATTTAGTGCTCAAGGAGAAGCTGAAGACAGGTCGAGAGAACCTCAGGATGCCAACAGTTTAGAGTTAAAAGACACCCTAGCAGGTACTGTTGGAGAAAAATACTGACCTAGAAGTGCTTTTTTCATTTGGGATAATCTGATCATCTTTGTTTTATTAGCAGCACATGGCCTTAATAGTAACAGTGAAAAGCTAAAGACACTAATTCCAGTGCCAATGAGAGTGATGAATTCTGTTTTAAGAGAATTTTGGCAAAGCAGTTTACATTAAATTAAATTCTTCCTGATAATTTTTATTTTCTTATGCTATCTTTCTTACTATTATTGTGAAGATCAATCATTTTTATGATTATAAACTAATAATTTAAAATGCTTCCTGGACCCAGTTTTAGTGCAGAATCTCTCATGTTTCTGTCGGCAACCACAATCCATTTTCTATACCAAGATTCTCTCTTGAAATTGCACACTCAGTTTGCCAAGCAATATTATAAAGTAGGGTTTTTAGACAGTTTGTTTGTGGCCTTTAATTTTGTTTTGTTTGGAAAATAATTTTAATTTTCATTCGGTGAGGCGTGTCCTCTCTGATTCAATATGCTTCTACCTATTGGCTGATTCAAACTTTTCCTTTACTTGCCTGGTCCCTGAAGTTTCTGTATTTTGTACCTCTGCAAAAGTCAGAAAGAAGGAGATACAGTGAAGAAGATAACTTCAATATTTTATATTAAAATTTAATATTTGAGTCCAGGTGGTGATAACTGAAAAGGGAGAAGCAGTTTTAGGTATAGGGATAAGGTTGAAATCTCTTCAGGAAAGATACAAAGGTTTCCTATCTGTTCAGTCATCTGTTTTGGGATTGACAAGCTCAGTATGACTAATAAGTTAACACAGATATTTGCTCTTGTTTACAACACTGAGGTGTGAATGGTTTGCTCATATTCTATAGGATATATTGAAACTTTATCTTAAATGAACCTAGTGCTTCACTTTTCTTATGGAATTCTCTCAAACTTCATGGTAAATGGGTTGCCATGCACACCCCTAGTTACACTGTGTGGAATCATATATGGAAAGATATGTGGAAGGGAGGGGATGATACATTCAAAACTATAATGAAAGCCTAGTTCAAGCAATGTGTTAATTTCTTGTATAATATGAATGAATGCAACTGTTCTCTGATAATGCTTATTTTTTGTATGGTAGAGAAAACCAATTTAGCAAGTGGTCTTGCCAACAGTGTCTCTGGTGGTACAGAATTTGCAGCACTGCTTCAAATAAAAATAAAATTGGTTGGGGTCCGTCTGGCCAAATGGATTAGGTGTGAATTCAGTAAATGGATTAGCCAGCTCTAATTCTGCTGTCAGTGAAACAAGTATTCTAAGTTGTTTCTTAGTTTCTGCTTTTGACAGAAAAAACAATCAATTAGCAAAGGAGGAACTGATGGTTATTTTTTGACCAATACAGATTTAGTGTTGGAGGGACTCATGGGAAAGATTTTTAAACTATGTTTGATTCTTAAAGGATCTGTGTTATCTTCAACAGAAATCAATTTAAACATTTTAGTGAAGAGGCAAGTAGATTGAATGCTTTTAGAAGGGACAATAGATTGAATGCTTTTATGAAGGGACTTGGACCTAGAATGAAGAGATCTGGTTTCTATCCAATCTTTTCTACTAACCTTCTGTGGACTTTGGTAAAGCCACTTAAACTCTCTTGTTCCCAAGTTTTGTCATAAGAAACAGAAATTTTTTGGTCTCATGTTTCTGTATGAATTTGACTTTTTAAGTTCTATTACTCATATTTGAACTAGTTGTCTTGAAAAGGAATGCAAGAATGTTTGAAGCTGTCAAATGTGTATATCTACGGTCAAGAATTAGGAGGTGATAAGTAAAACAAAAGTGTTAAAATTTGTTATAGTGATTTTTATTTCAAAATGGTTTTCAATATTGTTTATATTATATTTTCAATAAACAAAATGGTGTGGATAAATAGCTTTTTATATTTGGAAATTAAAGTCAGTGACAGAAGTGAGGGTCAATAAAGTACAGTAAATATAGGTATTTTTTGTGTCAGAGCAACTTATCTTAAAAGACGTGGAAATTGGTGGAAACAGGAAGAAGAGCAAGGAGTTTGTTCTCGCTGGGCTTTGGCTTTGGCTCTCAGTTCAGAGGCTCAGGAATTCTGATCTAGACTCTATTAAGAAAAAACACAAATGATTTACATCCTTTGTTTATTGCTCCTGATTACAGTTTAAGTTTCCATTTGTCTTTTGATTTTGGACTTGATGGTAAAAAGGCAGGTTAATTTGGATTTGGTCTTGGTAATTCTGGCTCACGCAGAGTTGGTGTCAGTGATCTTGAAAATAAAAAGCTTTGGTAAAAATAAAACAGGGAGCTTTGGAAAATCAAGTTCCAGTGATCTAAGTACTACTCTTTAGGTTTTGTGCATAAAAAGTATTGACTCATAAGTTGTACCTAAATATTCCCTGGTGACAATCTTTTTTAATTTCAGCAGACAGCTGAACATAGGCACCAACATAGGCAGAGGGGCTGGATTTAGTAGCAGTGCCTCTGGAAATTTAGCATTTGGTTTGGGGACATCTGGTCAAAAGGGATTGGAAGTCAGTAGAGTTGATTGGAGTGAAATTAGCAGTAGAGGATCTGCTGTGGGTGAATCCATAGGTTTTAGATGCCTGTAGCTTAGGTATTCCAACTAAGACTCATTCCAGAAAAAATTTAAATTAATTAAATTAACTAATTAGTTAAAATACTTCTCTTTACATTTAACAACAAATTAATTAGTTAAAAAAGATTAATTTTTAATAACATCTTGATTTTTTCATCAGTTGGAACAGGGTGTTTTGGCTGGGAACTTGGAGCTAGAAGGGGCGATGCTGCATTTGGTCTTAGAGCTTCTGGTTTGAGTTCATTTGGTGACAGCAGCTTTAGTACCAGAACAGTTGAAGGAAATTGAGTGATTAGATCTGAAGGATCCATTTCCAATGATCTAGGTATTGATATCTCATTTTTGTGTATACAAACTTCTGAATCATAGAATGTTTTCAGTAGGCTCTGTGATGATCATTTTATATTCTTCAGGTGACACCAGTCTGAGAATTGGGAATACCTCTGTTGATGATAGCTCTGGAAATTTGGAATCCAGATTAGGGGCTTTTGGTCAACAGGAATTTGGAATCAATGAACTTGGAGGGGATAGAATGAGTGGCAATGCATCTGTTGGGGCTGGATTTAAAGGCCTTGGATCTGATGTCAGTAGCTCAGGTATTCCAATAAAGACTCATTCTGGCAAATTTTAAGTTAATTAAATTAACTAAGTAGTGGAAACACTTTTCTCTAAATAACATTTCACAACAAACTAACTAATTATTAAAGATTGAATTTTAATAACATCTTGATTTTTTTTCATCCGTTGGAACGGGGTCTTTAGTTAGGAACTTGGAGCAGGGAAGGGCAATGCTGCATTTGGTTTTGGAGCTTCTGGTTTGAGTTCATTTGGTGATGGTGACTTTAGTAGCAAAACAGTTGAAGGAAATTGAGTGATTAGATCTGAAGGATCCATTTCTAATGATCTAGGTATTGATATCTCATATTTGTGCATACAAATTTCTGAATCATAAAATATTTTCAATATACTCTGTGACAGTCATTTTATATTCTGCAGGTGACACCAATTTGAGAAATGGTAATACCGTTTTTGGTGACAGCTCTGGAAACTTAGAATCCAAATTAGGGGCTTTTGGTCAACAGGGATTTGGAATCAATGAACTTGGAGGGGATAGAATGAGTGGCAGTACATCTGTTAGGGGTAGACATAAAGACTTTGGCTCTGATGCCAGTAGTTCAGATATCCTCTCAGTCTCTGTTCCTAAGGGACAGAGACATTAATGTCTCTTGATATCAGACATCTTGAGATTGAACATCTCAGTTCATCTAGATTAATAGTTTTAATACTTCCAGTTTCTGTGAATGCAGAATCCTTTATTCAGTTGACATCTTGAAATGGTACCTAGGTTTCCCAAGTGTAAAACAATTCAAAGTGGGAATAAGTTTGGTTGAAACTGAAATATCAGACTTGGAGTCCTGTCTACACAACCCTTTTCTCTTTCCCTGAACAAGTTTTAAGGCAATTTATCTGGAATAAAGTAATTTGGTGTCAGTTCATTTAGTAGTGAGGCTTATAATTTTGTTACTCCAGCAGGTTGTTGAGTTGATAATATTTTTTTCTTATATAGCTTCACGTGGTTTTAAGTCTGCTAGCATACCATTGCTGAACTTGGATCTATGGTTTATACATCAGATCTAAAAATATTTTTTTCATATTTTACCAGATAAAATTATACACATAAACAGCCTAATCATTTTGTATTAAATAGGTGTCACAAGCTCATCTGACTACAGTACTTCTGGACTACTCAGCACTCCAGGTAGTTTGATTTTTAATGTTCAGTGTTTATAATGTATATGTAAGATGTTCTGTTGATTATTGATTTGCTAGGGCTTGATATTATTATGTGATTCTCATGTAGCATTGAACATCTAAGTGCTCTCCTCTTCCAGTACTAAAATTTAGATGACCAATTGGATATTTGAAACAATTTTTTGAATAAGAAAGATTAAATTATATCTTAATAGAACCTAAATAAAACAATACAACTTCCCCTTTATCATTTTAGATATAGTATTTAAAGAATGATTTTATAAATAAATTAAGAATTTAATCTATTATCACTCAACCTGGGCAAAGAGAAGTGGCCTCAAGATATACATAAATGGCATTGGGAAAAATATTTTAAAATTCTATCAAAATGTTCACTTTTTAAAATTGTTGTTACTATTCTATTCTGCTTGCTTTTAAACCTTGCTCTAAGACTTCATGTGTTTACTTGGTTGCATAAAAGGGTCCATGCATTGGAAATAAATGATAATGGGAAACAAATCTTCAAGGTTATGAATTTTTCCCTTTGATCAGGAGAACTGATTATTTTTGTATATAGATGATTGAGTTATTAGTATTATACAGTAGGCTGATTTAATAAAATCTATCTTGGGCCTGTTTGGGTAGCATTTTCCAATAAAAATAGACTACAAATATTCTATTTTTGAAGTTGAAAATATAGTTCTGTAAGGAATGCAGCATATGTTATTAATTGTACATGACCCAAAATGAATAAACTGTCAATGATTTCTGAACATATTGTGGCTGATTGCTACAAGAAAAAATATGGGCTTCAAAGATAATCATACATATGACTTTGACAAATCATAGCTGTCACAAAATCAAATTATATATTTAGGATTAAAAAAACCCACTGATGGCCTTCAATACCAACTTTTAAATTCCCATGTAGAAGACCAAATATCCTGTATATTTAAAGCCAATATATATTTGTAATTTAAGTAATCTATGTATTGTGTTGAATAGGAAAAGGAACCCATATTCCAGAAGCAACCCCCAAATACTCAGAAACAAACACAACTATTGGTAAGTAAAAATGACTCTGATTTATATCCATATTTATATGACCAAGACAACCAGTACCTAATGAGGTTTCAAAGTATTGAAAATTTGAAACTGGTTTAAAAAATTTTTCCATCATCTATCTGTTTTATACACACACACAGACACAGACACCCACCACACATACACATAACGTATATACACACACATAACATATGTACATACACATACATGTATAGAGAGAAATAATATAATTCTTTATACTTATTTCATATTAATGATAACCCACTCAGACAACATTAGAAAAGCTAGCTCTACAAAAAGCAAAACAAACGAGCAAACAGACCACAGCTTCCCTCCATATATCCCTTCCCATAGTAGAGACAATTTCCCTTTTCCACTGGGAAACAAGATGTTTTACTTTTTTTGTTTTAGCCAACTTTGGGTATTTGCAAGTACTCAGATATTACTTTTAGCACATTTTGCAGTATATAAGAAAGAAAAATACAGACTTAAGGTGGATGTGAGAATAGTACCTTTCAGTGATTTTTTTTTCTTGGTACATAAACACTTAAAAACTGAAACTAGAAGCTACATTAATTGTTCTAAATAATAATGAATATTCTACCCTAAATATTTTGTAGGTGAAGTTTCTACTTGGGGCAAAGGAGCATATAAAGCTTTCAACGGCCGTGTCTTTTCCTTTGAGTCTTCATGCACGTATAGTTTCTGCCGTCACTGTGTTGAATCTGGAGGAGAATTCAATATTGAGATCAAACGAAACAATGATAGTGAGATTGAAAAAATAACAGTTATAGTAGACAGTAATGTCATCTCTATTGTTGGCAATATCATTTTAGTTAATGGAGAAAGGTAAATGTCACAGTGTTTTGAATAAAGGCTATAGAATCACTTGAAGTAACCTGAGCAAAAAGAAAATAAAAGGTTTATTAGGGGAGAGATAGTACTCTTTTCCTATTTTGGTGCTCATATTGATATTTATAATAAGTTCTTGTAAAATGTATAAGACTTTGCTATATGTGGGATTATAAGATATTATATTTATTCCTATCACAAGCTGGGAAAAAAAGAGTAGTTCTGTTGTTTGACTATTTTGAATATCTAGATTTGGGGCAACATGCATATTCAACAAAACTGTTAATAGAATATTTCAATTTTCATTTGCATGCTTAATGCTAAATAAAAATTTGAGCTTTTACAATACATTAAAACTTAAGCCATTGTTTTGAGAAGTAGCAATTTATATTTGGAAGGGATGACATATTTGAATATTTTTCAGGATAAGAAAGTGAGGCATGATATTCTGCTTGTGAACATTTCAAATTATTTAATCATTTTATTCTTATAATGGACCAGTTTCTTCTTGTTCATTTCTCCAAAGCCTCAAAAGATTTATTCATTGTTCCTTACAAGTCTTTCCAAAATCAGATGAAAGCCATTGTGTCTCTTCTTCTGAAATGATCAGAAAAAAAAACTTTACTATTTATTAGCAGTATTATATTTATGATACTAAATATAGAAACATGAATTACCAGAAAAAAACATGATGTAATAATACTGTTCTTACACCTTTTATATGTACTTGTATTTTATACTTTTCAGTGTACAGATACCATATGACAATAAGATGATTCACATTAAGAAATATGGAGAACATAATGTTCTGAATAGCCGTAGAGGAATCCTGTCTTTAATGTGGGACGAAAATAATAAACTCTCAGTAAGTCCATCTATGATCTCTTATAGTTTGTGCTTTTTGTTCTTTACTTTCAGTTATAAAATAATATAATATAAGGAAAATAAGAGCTAAGATTTATTGAGAAATCTCTATGTATCAGGCACTGTACTAAGGATTATCTAATATTTAAAATATGGTTATTAATCTTATTTTACAGATGATGGAACTCAGGAAATTCAGGCTAATAAAAGTTAAATAATCCACCCAAAGACACAGTTAGTAAAAGTGAAGTCAGGATCTTGCCAAATTCTAAATCTAAATCCTTTAGAAAAGTCCCTGTAATACATTCCTAAGTAACCAGCTTAGGTAAAACTGCATATGAAGAGGGCCTGTCTTTTGGTTTGGTTAAACTTTGTCTTGAGATATTTTCAATATTTTATAAACATACATGTAATCTTTTTTAAAGCTCACTCTTCACAAGCAGTATCCAACTTGTGGTCTTTGTGGTGACTTCAACAGCATTCCAGGTAAGATTTCAATGTATTTTGTCTAAGAAAATTGCCTCCCAAAAGGAAATTATAAAGTAATTTTTCATATTTAGATAAATCTAACAATTAACAATTTGCATTTGTCTATAGAATGAGAAATTGTTAAAATAAAAAAATATATTTATATTGTCAAGTCCATATTTATCTTGAAAATAATGTGTATATATATATATATATATATATATATATATATATATAAAATGAATATCTTGAAGTTAACATTGCTTTCTTTTCAAGGAGAAGATATTAATGAGCACATTGACAATAGTAAAATTCCTGGTAATTGTCCCAAAGCTGTTACCAAAAGCTATCAAGTTTGTGAAGATGGAGTGCATGTAAGAAATATATATTTCATTTAATAACAGATTTCAACAATATTCCCTTTGGTTTCAATTTGGATAGCCAACATCCTTTTCTAACACTCAGACCTTATTAGAATTTTGCCATTGCTTCCTCTCCAATGTCCCTGTGGTCTGTTTCTCTGCTTTAGTTTAGCTGTAGATGCTAAAATAAGTGTTTTTTTTAAAATGATATTTACTATATATGAATGTAACAATTCTAATTTCCTTTGAACAGTGTTTTAGTTGGTCTGTAAACTGACATGCTTCACCTCTCCATGATTATTTCTTAATAAGGACTGACTTGACTCTTACAGTTTAGAAATCCCTGTAGTGCATTCCTAAGAACTACTTTCTGCTCTCACTCCCTTACTTTCGCCCCAGATAGCCAGTCTGAATTGTCATCTCCAGTGTACTTTACCTTCTTTCTGAAAAAGTTACAGATAATATTTTTGACTACACCACTTGAAAATAGTCATCATTTATTCTGAATTTTCTGCACTTGCAGAAACTCTTAATGTTGAATTTGGTAGATTGCACTCATTTGATGACTGAAGGAATTTTCACATATTCTTATTTCAATCTAGAACAAAATTCTCAAGACCAAGGTATGTATGAATAGTACAGGTAGAAGAGACTTGTGTTTTAATTGACAATGGGTATTGTATTTATAACCACCTTGTCATCTTTTAGCAAAGCAAACTAAGGTCATCTGCTATCTTCCTTGTGAAATGCTCCTTGAGTTTTGCAGTTAGAATTGCTTTCTCTTTCCTCTGTTACCCTATGTCACTCATTGGTATTTATGATCTATAAAAATTCCTCATGTTTTTCTCACATGTTTCCTAAGAGATTATGAGCTCTGTGATAACAAAGATTAGGTTTTACTGTTGTGGTAGTTGCACAGTGTGTGAGAACTTATGCCTGGTTGCTCAAAAATGTTAGTTGAATGAGTATACAAATTTATATTAAAGCCAATGTGTATTTAGTAAGAACTTACTATGTACAAGACATTGTGTTAAGCCTAGAGATTATAAAGTTCTATTTCTTGCTCCAAAGAAACCTGTAATCTAGTGAGAAATATACACAAAGAATAGTACATTAAAAAAAAATCTTTGAAGATTTCATTTCACTTAATTTTATACCTCACTTGGAGAATGTTATCAGTTGTCCTGGGGCTTAATTGGTGCAAACTGTGTTATTTGCTTGCTAGTAGCTTTTATATTTCTCTGAAAACAAACATAGTTAAGATAGCAAAAAGCTATGTGGTAATTAAAATATTTTGAAATTTGAACTTTTTGTGCTTGACAATATGTCTTTACTTCCTTAAACAACATGAGAACAGATATGTTGTTTCCAGAGCAGACTCACATGGCCCCCACCAAGAAAGCACAGAATCAGTCCATTTTATTTTTTTGCTCATCAAATATAAGCAGATTGACAGTTAAAGGGTCAATATCCCTCTGTGTATTGTGGTATCAATCATTCACCATCCCAATCTCTGACATTGACAACCTTTCCTTTTCTCACCCCTTTCATTTTCTCAAGTTCTAAATTTCATGTCACTTTTAGAGAAATTTTGGATGAGTTTCGGTACAACAAATTTTAAAGTCCTTATATAGCAATCAAAAGTATCAGAGGTGAAGTTTTCTTTTAGGAGTCACTGTACCAAATGTAATGATTCAAAACTCCCCATTTCAACCAGTGTTCAAGAATTTTCCTGTCAAAGCTACAGGGTATTATGCAAAATAAATTTCTGAATTTATCTTTCCCAAAATACTCATTTGATTCTTCATTTTTCCTATGTTTTCTTAAAACTTCATGCTTTATTTCCTAGCACTGTAACAAAATAATTGGAACCTACTTTGAGAAATGTGGAAAGGTTGGCACTTTATCCAACAACTACAAAATGATCTGCATTGATGAGTACTGCCAAAGTAGAGACAAAAAATTCACCTGTGACACTTATGCAGAATTGTCCCGCCTCTGTTCATCAGATGGTCCCGGCACCTATGTATCCTGGAGAGACGATCCCGATGTGGTTTGTGGTAGGTTTCAAATATATTGTAGATTCCAAATCAGGAAGCTTCTATAGCACTTAAAGTTGGGATGTGTTTCAAAGTAGTCTTCTCAAATGCTTAAGCCCTGGAAGAAACCTCAGAGACCATAATCTTGTCTCTGGCACGTACCTGTGAGGAAACTGAGGTCCATTTTGTGGGGTTACTTGCTACAAGTGCTTTGTGTTAAGATCTTAATTTGGAACTTTATAATCAGTAAAAGTCACTGGGAAAAATGAATAATTCTGTGAAATTCTGTAAAAACTGTAAAAAATAACTGAAAAAGTTATCAAAAGTATGTTGATGAGTAATTATTTTTTTCAGAAAATTAGAAAACCTAAATGAGTTTCATACAAATATGAATATACTTTTCATTTATACTTAGTTCAGTCTTTATAAGTTAAAATACAAATAGAATATCAATTTCAAAGTAAGGTAAAATGATACTATATAATATACATTTCCTCCAAATTAAATATTGTATCATAAAATAATGCATAGGAAATTGGCATAATTTAGTACTGAATATCTTTAAAAACTGACATATCTTGAAAAGTAGACTCAAAGAATCCCATTTGAAAAGATTCACATTAGAATATTATGTATTTATCACATTTATTTTCCATGTATACATATTTCTATATTTCTCCAGAAAAACCTAGATGCCCAGAAAAACATATCTACAAAGAATGTGGTCCCTCAAATCCTGCAACTTGTTCTAATGTGGCTCCTTTTCAAGGCATTGAATGTGTGAGTGGCTGCACCTGCCCAGAAGGTAATACTATTTACACTAAAACAATTGAAAATGAAGTGACTCAGTTATAGTGGGATCTTGTTTCTAACAAGATATTTAATGAATAAATTATTACCTATTTATAATCCATCCTTCTAGCATACTGCAGGGGAGGGGTAGAGAGACTTTTAAAGTTAATGTGCATTTCTGTCTCTACAATACCTGAGGGCCATGGTACTACACAGATGATTTGCTAGTTCTGTATTAGACTCAAAAGGACTGCTCTGTGGCTCCGAAAATTGTCTATACTCTTGCCAGTTCTCAAATTTCTTAAATAGAAATTATCATTTTAAGTGCATGTTTACACTTGAAAGAACAACCTCAAAAGTGATTTTGCAATACACTGCTTGAGAATTTACTGATGTTTATATAGTTTCAAGATTAACTTTATATAATGTACTCTAGGTTATCTATTGGATGATATTGGAGAGAAAGGGAGATGCGTGTTGAAGGCTGACTGTCCCTGTGAATCTAATGGAAAAGTGTATCAGTCAGGAGAAATCCGTGAAGGTTCTTGTGGTTCTCAGTGGTATGTGTGTGTGCTTTTGGTCTACATTTTATTGATAGTGACATAATACTAATATTTTAATGTAATTTGAAGTAATTCCCTAAATCCACATGTAAAATAAACTTTTCAGAAAAAAAAAGCAACCTTCTGGCATTTTCTGTGTTGATATTCTGTCTTTCAATTTTTGAGGAAAGCTTTGTGTTTTATGTAAAATATATGAGCTTTCTTTGTATCTTTAAAAGACAATGTTTTTTTACTAACTAAAATAGTGTTTTGAATAGTAAACCGATTGGTGGTTGCAAAACAGAGCAAAGCATAATACAAAAGTATGGTTACAATAATGAAACAATATGCTAATTTCCAAGAATATTTAAAAATATACAATTAGAAACAACCCAACACTTTTCAAATAATTTTTATATGAGGCTACATTGGTGAAGATACATTTAATCCAGATAGGATTTTTTTTTTTAGATTCTATATTTTTGACATTTTATTGGTACTTTCTGTCACCTTGGCCACAAGAAGTATTGGTGTAAAGCTTATCCACATTACTACATTACATAAGGAAAATAAAGTTGCTTTGCAAATTTTGGGTAAGGCTGGAAAGGAATGGGGTGAGGGGGAGAAAGGGAAGAAGAGGCAACAGCAATAACAAAAATATAAACTTTGCTAATTGTATTCCATTAAACCAGTGCTCTCCAAACCTCCAGATAGGATTTTAATGTGCCAAACGTTAGTGTAGATTATTTCTCTTTTAGTTGAATAGCTTGATTCTTCCTTTTGCGTTCAGGAACAATATTCTGACCAGACAGATTTCCCTGTTCCTCATTATGCCTTTTTTCTGAAACTCCACATATCTGCTGGACTTCAGAGGACTTTCTAGAATGTACTGTGTCCTTGTGAGGAAATAAACTGACTAAATGAAAACTAATATATTATTAATACTGTAATATTTTCTCAATAAATAGCCAATGTTCTGTTAGTCTGGTAATAATATATTAATAATAATTATGAATAACAAGAGCTATGATTTATTGAATGTGTAGAACTGTGCTGTCCAAGAGAAATATAATGTGAGCCACAAATACGACCTACATATATAATTTAACACTTTTAGTTGATCCATTTTAAAAAGCAAAAAGAAACAAGTGGAACTAATTATAATCATGTACTTTACATATCCAAAATATTATCATTTCGACATGAAATTAGTATAAAATGTTGAGAGATTTTACAATCTTTTTTCATATTAAGTCTTAGAAGTCTGTGTGTATTTTACATTTACAGCAGATTTCAATCTGGACTGACAAGCCGCATTTCACATAATCAGTAGCTATGTCTCTATACTATATTGGACAGTGCAGGTCTATAATGTGGCATGTAACAGGTGTTTTAATACTAATAGTGAAATGTGTTCCATTTAAACAAACTCCTGAAATCCAGTTTACAAGTTTTTATATGTTTAATGCAGGCAGAAGTTATTATTTTGGTCAATGGAATTAGAGTCTTTTAAAATACCAGGATACCATGGTCAATGAGACATTTTATCAAAGCTGAGATGTTGGGTGGGGAATGAAAATGGTGTAAGAAAACTTAACTAGGTGTCGTAGTTTAAGTTATGATTTTTTAATGTTGTTTTATTTATTTTCACCATAGAGAAAACACAATTGATGACCTTTAACATAACCATTGCATTTTAACAGCACATGCCAAGAAGCAAAGTGGTCTTGCACTAAAATGCTATGTCCTGGAAGATGTAAGGTGGAAGGAAGTTTGATTACCACCTTTGATGGTGTTAAATACAATCATCATGGAAACTGTCACTTTTTGGCCATCCATGTACGTAACAGTCTACAACACTTGAGAAAACTGATACATCAAACTATTTCTCAGCCATTTTAAAACACAATCTTCACCTTTATTTACTATTAAAAATAACAAACATCCCTTCAATCATTGGTTATGTATTTCAGTATCTGCTTTCGGTCACATATTGACATTGACAATGATTATTACCTGTGCTCCTTAGAAATTCTTGATAAACAAAAACAATCAAAATCTCCTTCATTACTAATAATTTTCTAAATACACCGGGAAAAGTTTTCCTTTTTCTACTTTTCTTTGCATGTGTTCATTAGTGCCTCAAATGAAACTATCTTTTACATTCCATAAAGGATCTTCCTCTTTCATCATTATTCTTTTACATTTATTTTTAGTTTTTATAATATAACAGTATGATAGAGGTTATCCTTACATTTAAACTCTTTTCAATATTAAAATTTTAAGTAATCCAAAGTTCAATAAAAGGGGGATTCTATTTCGTAGCTTGTACCTTTAGCTAGCATGAGAACAGGAAATTTTACTGAATCTTCCTGGTCAGAAACAAAGATGAGCAGAATTTGTGACTCCTGAAGTGAGAGATGTGGGTCAATGACCAGTAATCTGAAAAATGTAGTTGCTGCTATCAAAAGCCAGTTTTCCAAATCTTCTTTCCTTTTTTGTAATACTCCTCACATAATCCATGAGAATAGGGGATGGGCAAAGTGAGAGGGAAATATGTCAAAATATATAGAATATTTGCTTCTTATAGATTAGAGATTCCTAGATCTTGAAATGAAAACTGGAAGTCAATGTTTGGCATGACTTTTATTATGGGTTGACAAATTAAATACCTCTCTCATTGGATTTAAGTTGACATCATGGATTTTTCCAGAGAATAAACAAGCTATGTTCCCTCTAAGTCCTATTAGTCTCAATAATGCAGCACAATTCCTTTGGAGAAGACGAAAAGTAAAGCTAAAAGAAAAAAAAATAATAATGTTATGAAAATCCACCAGTTATAGACTACTTAGATAGTCTTAGATGCAAGAAACTTGAACCATCTGTAAAGCTTTTGGCCAATCCTAGACTGTGCCATTGACTGAACTAGGTTTCTAGTTTCAGAGCAGAATGATAAGATGTAAGCCTTTTGCATATTTGAAATGCAAACATGCATTGTGAATGAATCACATAGTAATAGCATATATTCAATGACATTTTAATAAACATTTACATGAAATGAATTTTTTAACAGGATAAAGATTGGTCTATTAGTGTTGAGCTTCGTCCATGTCCAAGTGGTCAGTCAGGAACGTGCTTAAATAGTGTTACACTCCTCTTGAATTCGGTAAGTAATCAGATTCCTAAAGCAAAATCGAATCAGTTACTCCACAAATTCAGAATTTTCAGGTTGTAAAAGAGAGGTTTTACTGTGTAAATTAAAAGCATAAATAAGATTGGTAAAGTCTCTGGAAGAGCTGGATAGTTCCAAGGATCCTTAAGTATATCAAAATTAACGTAGACACATAACTAATGTACTAATTACAGGTCAGCCTTATGTGCTTATTCGATTATTAAAATCTATGGCCCATTTAAGAAGACATTTATATTTGTTTAGAATTTCATGTATTTGGAATTATCATTTTAAGTGGAGATGACCTATATGGGGGGGAGGTCACCTAGCTTGATCTTTGGTACTTACAAGTGGTTCGACCTTTGGAAATCCAAGTTACCTTCTTGGGTCTTGGTTTCCTCATCTACAAATCAGGGATGAAAAGTCCTTTATAATCCTCCTCAAAGAATTGATATAAGAAATGCTTTAGGGCTTCCCTGGTGGCGCAGTGGTTGAGAGTCCGCTTGCTGATGCAGGGGACATTGGTTCGTGCCCCGGTCCGGGAGGATCCCACGTGCCGTGGAGCGGGCTCGCTGAGCCTGTGCGTCCGGAGCCTGTGCTCTGCAATGGGAGAGGCCACAGCAGTGAGAGACCCGTGTACCGCAAAAAAAAAAAAAAAGAAAAAAAAGAAATGCTTTAAAAATGATTTATATTTTAGATATTTATAAATTAATCCATTACAATTAAACTTTTATGGAAAAAAATTTCAGGTTCATATATTACACTAAAATGAATTAATATTGTAAATTAATATGAACTAACAATGTGTTTTAAATATTAGTTTGTTCCAGTTGAAAAGTACATATTCAATAGAGATGGAACAGTCACAAATGACAAGATTAGAAATCAAGGTTATTATTATTCAGGTAAGTTTAATAATAACATTTTAAAATAAATATAAAATGCATTAATTTATTCAATCTTTAAGGATATTAAATGTTTCTGCTTTTTAAAATCTATTCAAGTATAAAAGCATTTTAAGAAATCAAAAACTGTTTAATATGTCAATTGTTGCTATTAATATAAATTATTACTTTAACAGAAAAAATACAGATCTCCAATGCATCTTCCTCATACCTTCAAGCAGAAACATACTTTCATGGAAAACTGCAAATACAAATTGTTCCTGTGATGCAATTATATGTTTCCATGCCACCCAACCAATTCACAGACACCGTAGGTAAGTCGTCTAGATATGTTTTTATTTCCAAGGTGCTCTTGTAACCATCTAGTGTAATTTTCAGTTGTCTCAATTAATGACATTAGACCATAAGGCATTTTTACTTAATCTTTCCTTCCATATTGCAATAAAATAATTCTAACATACAGTGAGGACAGCTTTATTTATTACAAAATCTATTTCCTAATGGTTTTCAACAATTTAAAATTTTTAAGGTTTTAAATTAAGGATTTATTAAGTGAGATTTGATAATTTTTGTTATTTCATTTTGCTAATATATATTACTAAAGCTTTGACTTGTAGAAGAATAAATGAAAATATTATACATATAAATCTTTTGAAAATCAAGTTTCAAATACAAGCTATTATAACTTGTCTTTCTGCTCGTAGATTACATTTCTTTTAATGAGTTTTTCTGTTATAGAAATCAGCTCTTACATACTGTCCAAATATCAAACAAAACAAAGAAACGATGGCAAATCCTACAGTTACTCATTTAAAACCGTCTAAATGTTTGCAATATACTTTTGCTTAAGAAGGTGACATTTATACACAGAAAAAAAATGTAACTCATGGGTCAGAAGGGTCCAGATAAGAAAGACAATACTCTCAGGTGGCTTATACATGTTTTGATTTGAGCAAAGAACTGAATATGAATCCAGAAAGAAGATGAGAAAATGCTAAAATTTGTTCTGTGCTCTATACAGGACTCTGTGGTTCCTACAACAACAGAGCAGAGGATGATTTCATGTCAAGTCAGAATATATTAGAGAAGACATCTCAGGCATTTGCTAATTCTTGGGAAATGATGCCTTGTCCCAAAGGAAACACTGCTTCATGCGTCAGTATAGAAAAAGGTAATGTTAATTGAACATCAAACTCCGTAATTAGATATTTGGTACTGGAATTATAAACTTATTCTGGTAATAATATGAGACTACCAGATAATCCTGGTTTCAGCTAGCATTTGTTGTACTGTCCCAGTTTTAGAGGGAACAGTGGAGAAACAATCGGGCTGGTTGATGACACTCTTAGAAAACATGTCTCATTGGGGAATGCAGGGAGGAAAAGACACAGCTGTCTTTTTCTGTACTTACTCTTTTCCTCCTTATACAGTTTTCTCCATGGTTATAGAATAATAGGGTTAGAGGAGACTTTACCTATCACTTAGTTTATTAGTATTCCTATTTTATTTAGTTGTAGAAGTCATCATTTCTTTGAATAACAAGACTCACCGTAACTGCTGAGACACTTAATGATGCAGCTATAGTTAGATCCAGGTCTAACCATTGCCATCATGTATGCCAAACCCCAAATATAGATCTTAATGGGAAAACTGTACACTTGTATGATTCAGCTCATGTTTTAGCTTACCAAATACTTTCATACCTATTAGTTCAATTTATTTCCACAAATATTCATGAAGGACATAGATGAGGTTATTATCTCCATTAATGTAGATGGTGATAATGGAGTTTAGATAGTGTGTTCTTAATAAGGTGTAATCCAAGTGTTTTGAGTCCAAGTCTTTCTCTGATTGTTCCCCTAGTATTGCTGATTTTAATACATACTTCACTTTATGTTGCTTCTTTCATAAGTAATGGAATGCAATGGAAGGTAAGTTAAGATGTATTATGATGATATGTTAATTAGTTATTTCTAAATTAATCTGCATATTTGAAACAAATGTCTGATCAGTTTTTAATAATATTTAAAAATTACTAAAGCGATTCCTTTTGAAAGTTTCATCTATTTGTTTTGATTTAAAAGATGAGCTGGTAAATGCATTAACATCAACATGGTAATACATATTTCATGGTTTTAATTGTTGTTATTTTGTTTTGTGGTGTTGCAATGAAAAAATGAGCACAGGTAAAAAACATATATATCTCATAGAAACCAAGCCAATTTATGTTAAGCAGACTATATGTTAACAATTTTGAGAGATATGTAAATGACTCAATTTTCAGTGTTTTATATATAACTTAATAAAATAAAATACAGAAAATTAAACTATACTTTAATAAGATGTTAATAATGTTTACAAAAAAACAGTGAAACCTGGTTGCAAGTTTGGCTTCATAATTGGCCTCAATGTCCTTTAAATAGGTTCAGTCATCTTCCTTTATTGCTTCCTGGTGACAGTAACTTTTAAAGGCCAATCAACAAATAGTTAAAAAAAATTTTAGTAATGTTTGTCCTAGTCATGGTCATCATCCTTAAGAATCTGCAAATCACTGAGCAAAACATTTTCTACTCCGATCCTATTTTTGTGAATTTTCTCTTCTGTTAATTTAATCTGAGACTAGTTATTTATAAACCAACCAAATATCAATTAAGCAGTTAAAAATAAAATTAGCATATCTGAATTATTGATATTGGTTGTCCTAATGTATGACCTTCAGAAACACTGATCTGACCTACTTGGGTGACAGTACTAACATTTCATAATTTGACATAAATATGTATTTTAAATTAAAAGGTATGTAAATAAATACTCTGGTTCCCTTATTCATATTTTTATATAGAAACTGCCCCTCAGAAAATGTTAACTGATTTAATATAAAAGTCCAAAGCTAATAAACATTTGCCTCTAAGTTTAAATAGTTTCTGATTATATCATGTTATTTTTGTATATAGTGATAACAAATTATAGCAAAACACTTTAAAAACACAATTGTTTTAATAAAGACAAAAGTTAAAAATTTACACTTTCTCTTTTAATCAGAAAATTATGACATTTTTGATCTAATATGTGGTTCATTAATTTTCTTCCAGAAAGGTTTGCTGAAAGGCACTGTGGAATTCTTCTTGATTTGAGTGGGCCTTTTGCTTCCTGCCATTCAGTTGTGGACCCTAAACCATATCAAGAGGTATGTGAGGGTCTGATATTAACAGCTTTTTTTGAGAAATATTTTGATAATATTAAAAGAAGCATGAGATATTAAAAATGTTCAAATAGCAGCCATTGTCAGTAGATTAAGATATATGTTTAAATTTAACATTGGATTATACTAATTTATTCAATTGTTAGATATACCAACTCAAAACAAAAAGAGGTACTGGAAAATAACCCGAAATGAGAAAAATCTTGAATAATTTTCTCTTTCTGTCTTTTCTAAGTTCTTGGAAAACTCATTTAATAATTGATTTGCTATTTTGTATATTTTTGAAAAGAAGTAATTCCAAAAGTTTCAAGGATATACGTTTTTCAGGGAAGAGGAGTGGTTATGAACTGATTTGTTATACACAGTTTTCCTGTTCTGAATATTTTCATAATGTAATATAAATTTGTTTCTTATTTTAAAGGAATGCAAAAAATATACTTGTACTTGTGAAAATAGTCAAGACTGCCTGTGCACGATTTTAGGCAACTATGTGAAAGCATGTGCTGAGAAGGAAACTTACATGATAGGATGGAGGGCTGGGCTTTGTGGTAAGCAGAGGCTTTAGATAACTCTACTTTCTTCTCAATTTTACAGCAGTTGTGTGTGAGTGTGTGTGTCTAGGTGTACTTTAAGCATGTGTATTTACAAGTCTGTACTTTGTTCTTTCAAAGATGATTTTATGTTTGTTCAAAAAATATGTTTTTTGCAATCCTTGCATATTTACTTCTTGGTTTATTTCTTCTATCTTGATTAAATACATTCATATTTTAACAAGAACAGAATATATATGCATTTATATATAAATATATGTTTCTGTTCAACTTTTGTATGCTGAAATATAAATAATGTTCTGACATGCATTTTTAACTCATAGTCAAATATTAATAACTTATTTTGAAAAAATAAATTAGTAAGCTAAGGGCTCAACTACTATGTTTACAAAATCTTACTTTGGGGACTTCCCTGGCAGTCCAGTGGTTAAGACTCTGCACTTCCATTGCAGGAGGCACAGGCTGGATCCTTGGTCAGGGAACAAAGATCCCTCTTGCCACGTGGCCAGAAAAAAAATCTTATTTTGTTTTAAAATATTTATTACACTAAAGTCAGAAAGAGAAGGAAAAATACTGTATGTTATCACTTTTTTTTTTTTTTTGGCGGTACGCGGGCCTCTCACTGTTGTGGCCTATCCCGTTGCGGAGCACAGGCTCTGGACGCGCAGGCTCAGAGGCCATGGCTCACGGACTCAGCCGCTCCGTGGCATGTGGGATCTTCCCGGACCAGGGCACGAACCCGTGTCCTCTGCATCGGCAGGCGGACTCTCAACCACTGCGCCACCAGGGAAGCCCTGGATGTTATCACTTTTATGTGGAATCTGAAAAATAAAACAAACTAGTGAATATAACAAAAAAGAAATAGACTCACAGATATAGAGAACAAACTAGTGGTTACCAGTGGAGAAAGGGGAGGGAAAATATAGGGGTAGAGGATTAAGAGGTACAAATTTACTATGTATAAAATAAATAAGCTACAGGTATATATTGTATAGCACAGGAAATGCATCAAATATTTTGTGATAAATATAAAGTAGAGTATAATCTATAAAAATTTTGAAGCACTGTGTTGTACACTGAAACTAATACAATATTGTAAATCAACTGTACTCAGTAAAGAAAAAATGAAAAAAATTCTTATTAGAAAGCTGATAAATCCTTCATTTAATGGAAAAAATTGTTTATTGCACTATTCAAATACGACTTCAGAGAAGTACTTTGTTTACAAAAAAGAAAAACTTTTGTAGAAACACATCTCTATAGATAAATCTTAATACTGCATAGCCAATATCCAGTTAATCAGTAAGCTCTGCCAAGTTCACCTCCAAAATTTCTTTCAAATATATTCATATCTTTCCATCTCTTTTGCCACCAACCTAGTTCAAAAGCTGTCACTTTTACTTCTGGGTGATTGCAATAACCTCCTTTAATATCCAGTCTTGGTTCCCTCTAATCCAATTTCTGCAGAGAAATCAGTATAATCTTTAAAGTAAAACCAAATAAAACTAACCTGATCATGTGACATTCCAGTCTAAAACAAGTCAATGACAATTCATTGCTTTTAGGCTAAAGACCAAGCTGCTTACAAGGGTCGTGCAGGTTCTAAAGGCTACTTGTCTCTGGGCTTATAGTTTCTATTCTTCTACTTGCTTTTTGAAAGAATTTCCCTCTCTTGTAATTTAGACATAGAATTACCAGACATAGAATTACCTTTCTCCAGGCTGTCTTCATGCTGTCCATCTACCCCCTCCTTTTCACTAAGTGCAGGTTCCCAGCTGTACACACTTAGAGCTTCCTATCTTGCTTTTTTAGCATGCAGCACAATTGTCCTTTCCCCAGGAATATAAGCTCCAGGAGAGCAGTGTACTGCCTATCTTGTTTATGGGCTTTATTCTCAGCAGAATGTGTAAACATTATAGTAGTGTCTCAATAATGACAGAAAAAAAGAATGAAAAAAGGACAGGTACCTTTTCCTCTATTATTCATAATCTCAATTATGATTAATTCACTATAATACCTATAAACATCAACTTGAGGTAAGATTATTAATTTTCCTGTTTATTTACATGTTGATTATTTTTCCCTATACCAACAGATCAATCTTGTCCAAGTGGCCTAGTTTTCAGGTACAATGTTAAAACCTGCAATAGTTCCTGCCGATCATTGTCAGAGAGAGATAGGAGCTGCGATATGGAAGATGTTCTAGTTGATGGATGCACTTGCCCTGATGGAATGTACCAGACTAATGAAGGAAATTGTGTTCCAAAATCTCAGTGTGACTGCTACATAAATGACGAGGTCATACAACCAGGCAAACTCATCCATATTGATGACAATAAATGGTATGGAAATTACAAATATACTTGTTATGACTTTGAAATCAAGGGATTGTGCTTTTCAGAGAAATAGTCTTTTGCTAGTATGAAGTCTTCTTTAGACCTATCATATTTAAAATTTTGTATTTCTTATTAAAGTTTGATATTACCTCTTTTACCTGGAGTGTTCACTACACCGTAATGGCCATCGCTGATTTATCCCACTCTTGTTTGGTTTTAAATGACAGTAGAAAAAATATTCTAGAAGCTACTACATACAGACAATGCAAAATGATTTTATATTCAATGTTTCCTAGTTGTCTCTCAGCATTTGTCATTCAACAAAGAGTTATTCAATAAATATCTACTGTGTGCCATGCTTTGTGCTGAGCCCTGGAGTTACAAAGATGAGTGAGCATTGTCTTGGACTCAGATATTGCAAGGAGGTTTGTATACTATCATATGGTACCAAAAAGGGCCAGTTGCTACTGCAGGAGATAAAAAACTTCTCAGAGGAGACCAGCATTTCAGTTTTCCTAAGGGATGAATCTTCCAGACAAAATTGGGTTGTGAAGAGTGACTTCTAGTGGAGTAAATAGAATGAACTGATGTAGGAAATGTTTGAAAAAGTATTGCACATGCAGGTTGTTGCTGCACAGGATTACGCTGGAAAAGAAGGCAGTGACCAGGGCATACTCAAGAGTTTGAACTTTGTTCCTGGGAAGTAGGAGGTGCTGAAGAATTGTAACTTTTTGTAATGGATAAGAAGGTTGTGATTTCTGCAGTCTGGGCAAAGTAGTCTACCCACATTTCTAATTCGATACACATAAATAGCAATTCTTAAAAACATAACTGCAAAATTGAAGCAGTTGTTCCAAAAAAACTTTGGATGCACCTTCTCTCTTTTCTTTAGTTCCATAAAGATATCACTTAGCAATGAATAATTTTTCTTGGTCATTTTAAAGGAAAGGATGTGTATCAACTCTTTTCCATCAAATATGTAAAACATTTGGTTGGGGTTTGGTAATGATACATTCCCTACAGATGCTGGGGAATCCGTACATTACCTTTTTAATAAAACTTAGGCCAGCACCTCCAAATTATGGTTGCCTTCATCATTATCCTCTTTCAGACCTCTAAGACCTCTTATTGGCACTACTGTGAGAGCTAACTTGGCTGTTCTTTGCCCTGTCTCTCTCTGTCTCTGTCTCAAGTTTCTTGTACTACCAATAGAATATCAAATCTATAGCACTATTCTGACTGTGTCACTTAGCTGCTCAAACACTTTTGTTATGGTGACAGTTGCTTAAAGAATAGAAACAGGGCTTCCCTGGTGGTGCAGTGGTTGAGAGTCCACCTGCTGATGCTGGGGACACGGGTTCGTGCCCCGGTCCGGGAAGATCCCACATGCCGCGGAGTGGCTGGGCCCGTAAGCCATGGCCGCTGAGCCTGCGTGTCCGGAGCCTGTGCTACGCAATGGGAGAGGCCACAACAGTGAGAGGCCCGCGTACCGCGAAAAAAAAAAAAAAAAAAAGAATAGAAACAAACTTGCATGTGAGACTAACTGAAATCTGGCCGTAACTTACTTCCAGTACTTCTCCCTGTAATGTATCCTGCCTTCTATCAAACAAGTCATTGGAACGTACCTTGTTCTTTCCTTTGTCACATTTTACATCTTATCAGCAATATCTGTTGAATCTTACTCATTCATCAAGATCAAGCCATCTTTTCCATGAAGTTTTCTGTATGTCCATAAGAACCTTGCTTGTACATTTCTATAATACATACAGGATTATATCTTATAATTTGGTACATTTTATGCATCTTCTGGGGGACTGTGTCTCATTGGTCTTATTATTTGTGATAAAACAGGTGGTTTATGAATGAGAGGTTAAAGTTGCTGTAACAGTGTATTAAGAAGCTGTCATTGGAATTTTATTTAAATGCATCATTTCCAGGACTTCCTTGGCGGTCCAGTGGTTAAGACTCTGTTCTCTCAATGCAGGGGGCACAGGTTCGATCCCTGGTTGGGGAAATAAGATTCCTCATGCTGCACGGCACAGCCTAAAAAAAAAAAGTATCATTTTCTTTTATTTCCAGCATATGTCGAGATGGAATTCTTCTTTGCCAGACTCCCATTGATTTAACACTACGTAAGTTTTGAAATCATGATGCTTAAGATATCTACTTTGGTTAAAATAAGCAGATCAAGGGGCCCTTGATTAACAGCTTCCCTTGTTCCACAGAGAATTGTTCTAGAGGGGCTGAATATGTTGACTGTAGGAATCCTAAGGCACAGAGAAGAGTTGACAGTACCTGTAGCACTCGGAACATACCTAATTTTGAAGTAAGTAACATGGCAGTAGAGTTTAGTTTTTTAAAACTTTTGTTTCAGTGAAGAAGGAAATTAAAACATCAATGAAAAGTAATTAGAAGGTCATATTATTTTCTGTGTGTCATTTTGATTTGTCAAATTTTGACTCTAAATGTATATTTGGTATATTTCTGCATTGTCAATTAAAACTGATAATGTGATGTATTTAGACTAGTGCCCCATGGTGTATATTTTATATTTATTTCTGTAGGAGAACTTGCCTTGCAAGCGTGGATGCTACTGTCCTGTAGGAATGGTTCGAAATTCTAAAGGGAACTGTGTCTTCCCTGATGACTGCCCATGTTCTTTTGGTGGACAAGAGTATGACCAAGGAAGTGTCACCTCGGTTGGCTGCAACAAATGGTGCATAATAAAAGATTACTACTTTATTTGTTTTGGATATTTGAAAGTGGACAATCTGCTCTGATTTTTATGGGAAAGAAGTCATACTCTGGGATATTTTGAAAAATAATGGTCAAATGTAGTTAGAAAAAAAGCTATCTTTAAAATAGAAATTTTACATAGCATTATGTACGATGAACATCAGATAATGAAGAAACTGCAAAATTTAAACCAATATGAAACATTGTTTTGTGCTTCTTTACAAAAACAATATGAGTATATGAATCTTGATGTAATATAATTACCACACTGTATCATTGCTCTCTTTTAGTACTTGCATAAAAGGATCTTGGAACTGTACACAAAATGAATGTCAAACCACCTGCCATATCTATGGGGAAGGTCATGTTAGATCTTTTGATGGAAAAAGTTACAGCTTTGATGGTCTCTGCCAGTATTCATTTATTGAGGTAATTGCAAGTGTATTTTATCACAATTTTTCTTTACTTATTATTTATTTGTAGATGAATTCTGGAGTATTTTATTCTCAAAATGTGAAATTAAAAAAAAATGACCCCTTATATGTTTCTCAAAGGCAGTAAAATGTAACATAATGTAAAAATGAGTCTGGAGGCAGTAGACCTAGATTTCACTCCTGGCTCTGCCATTTCTCAGATGTATGACTTACTTTGGGCACATTCCTTAATCTCTCTGTGTCTCAGTTTCCTCAGCTATAAAATGGGGATGGAAATAGCCCCTACTTGAAACCAAAGTAGAGAAAATATTGGCGCACATACTAAATGCTCAATAAATGTTAGGTGTCATTATTTTAACAACAGCACTATTAGCAATAACAGTTACATTTTCTTGAGTGCTTTTTGCAAAGCGAATTTATATATTTTATTACATTCAATCATTTAAAATATAAAAGGCTTATATTATTATTCCTGTGATGGAGATGAAGAAATTGAGGGTTAGAGAGGTTAAGCAACATGAATTACTAAGCAGAAAATGCTATATTCAACCTAGATCTGTCTGATTCTGGAGTTCATGCTTGTTCCATACACCTAAACTGCTTCCTAAGTAACATGTAATGGGTGAAGTTTGGATTGTTTTGCATTAGTTTTGATTGAATATCAAATTTCATATAAATCACTGAGGAAAAAGCCCCCACATCTTATCTAGCTATTTGCAGAGCCTAGAAATAAATCTAAGACTTACACAATTTAAATATATATACATCTATGGTATAATTCTAAACTTGTGTAGAGGTAATGGGAAAAGGACTCAGTCAAAACAAGTTAACTAGTTTGGACTCAGCAAAGGCTACAGACCCATAACACAGTTACACCACTGTCTTTTGGAAATTCCATAACAAAACATATGGTAATTTATTGATTATAAGGGGTCACTGTCTAAGAAATGTTTGTCTGATACAAACATTGTAATTGAGTTCCATGTCCCTGATATAAATAAACTATTATTAACATTTAATTTTTAAAGGATTATTGTGGTCGTGAAAATGGCACATTCCGTATTTTAACTGAAAGCGTCCCGTGTTGTGAAGATGGGCTTACATGCTCAAGAAAAATTATAGTTGCTCTTCAGGTACAGTACTGTTTCTCTTTACTTTCTTTTTCTCTCAGATTATGCACCACCAAATAAAACTAATGTTTTTGTAAGTCTATCTTTTCATTTATAGGATCAGAATATTGTCTTGCAAGATGGTAAAATCACAGCAGTCAAAACTACGGAAAGTAAGGAATGTGAACTCAGTGGAAAATCATACTCTGTTCATACTGTTGGCCTGTACTTGATTTTGAAAATTTTAAGTGGAATAACCATAATTTGGGACAAAAATACAAGAATTTCTGTGTTATTGGATCCACGCTGGAATGTATGTATATCACATTCATATATATAATAATATAACAGAAGCAAATAACAATAGAAGCAAAATCATTTTTGCTGCTGAAGATTAGAGACATATTCAAATGTGGAAAGTGGGAGAATGGTAGTCTTTGTTATAGAACAAGGTTCCACATCTATTCAACCTTACGTGAAGTATTAAATGTAATCAAAGATGATAGAATTTGGTGAAAAATAAATGCAATAAACCTGAAGCATTCTAGTTTAGCCATATGTGGTTGCTTGGTGTATAGATAGAATTAATGTAATCCTTGGAACAAATATTCTAAGAACCTAAGAGTATACTCCTGTATGATTTGAAGCTACTGAATATAATTATTTTTAAATTCTTAAGGCATTTATCTTGGTCAATACTGAAATATAGGATATCTTGGATTAAATGGGAGCAGAATCTTATCCACAGATTCTGGTTTCCATTCAAAATTTGGAATTTAAAATAGATTTATAATATACACAATCTTAATATCTCTATCATATGTCTATCTATCCATACCTATCTATCTCTCTCTATATCTCTAGCATAACTCACTTTTAAAGTTCCCTTTCTGATCTATATAGGGCAAAGTGTGTGGTCTTTGCGGAAATAACAATGGCGATCTTAAGGATGATTTCACAACGAGATACTCATCAGTAGCTGCTGGAGCACTGGAATTTGGAAATAGTTGGAAAACAAGTCAAGAATGTTCAGACACAGTAGCTCAAACCTTCCCATGTGACTCAAACCCATACTGTAAAGCTTGGGCTGTGCGGAAATGTGAGATCATCCGGGACAGCACCTTCAGAGACTGCCACAATAAGGTAGTGGGGCTCTGAGAGCAATGACAGGCACGGGTTTTGCTCTCAGGTACTCAGGTGCTGTGCTTGATGCCAAAAATCTTGGCTTTCTGTGCACCGATGGTGAAAAGAAATATAGAGACAAGAGTTTTGGAGCAATGAGAAAAATGGCTTTAATCTTTGCCTGGCAAAGGGGAAAACACAGCAGGCTAGTGCCTCAAGAACTGTGCTCCCCTTCCCTGGGGAACAGGGAAAGATTATATAGCCTGGGGCTCATGGTCTGGGGTAGGCGATAAGGCTCAAAGTAATTAAGGTCTTGCATGTCTTTTTTTCTGCAAATTCATGGCCAAAGCTGGTGTCAGGTGGCTCAGCAACCCGGTCTGGTGTCCCTGAAGTTATTGCCTGTGACCTTCTTTCTGAAATGAATAGTGCTACAAGGGAGTGCAGGGGAGAAGAAATGCCAGGTGCAAAGGGTAGTTCATATGGAGTCAGAGAGTAACTAGCCTTGTGAAGGACAAGGCTACAAGTGTTTGTTAGTAGTAACAGCTAAAGAATAACCAAGATTGCTTAACTCTTTCAGGTGTGGTTATATTGTTTCCCCAGTCTGTTCATTGTTTTCTTATTTTCCTTGTTTATCAGAAAAGAAAATCTCATTTCTATTTTTGCTTTAACATGGTCTTCCTAGGTGGACCCCAGTACGTACTATGATGCCTGTGTTGAAGAAGCTTGTGCATGTGACATGGAGGGGAAGTACCTGGGATTCTGCACAGCTGTGGCGATGTATGCAGAAGCATGCAGTGCGGTTGGCGTATGTGTTACATGGAGGAAACCAGATCTCTGTCGTAAGTCCATATGTTGTTGTTCTTTAAAACGTAATCAGACAGAATTGTTTTGTTAGACAACCATTCTTCTCCTCATATTTTCTATAAAATACATATTCTTGGGCATAGACAGGTTTAAACACATGTTAATGTTTGTTTATGATTGAAAAAAAATACCTATTTAAAAAAGTATAGCACCTGGCACAGTACATCAAATTCAACTTTTTTAGTTTCAAAAGTTCTTCTGTTCACAGGGGAAAATTGAATATTGATGGAAAATATTTCTTATTCATACTTAAATGAACAATGAACTGTTTACCTATCTTGGTATAGTTATATATTCTTAAATATTTACCTCATATATCACTTTTGGGTGAAGTCCTCACACATCATCTTGAAAAGTTCTACAGAATTCTAGTCAAGATAAACTGTTAAATGAATATAAACTGAATTTTGTTATGTGTGGAATGTGGTAACTTTAGTAGAAATTAGTCAACACATTTCCTTCCAAAGGAAGGTATGATAAGAGATAATGTGTCAAATGAGAAATGTTGAAATTGAATCCTCATTTTATTTAGTTTATTATGTACAGCTTTATATATTATATTGAAATCTTTAGTTGCCTCATTTGGGAACTGTTATTTACATATTAAAGAAGCTTAATTTCCCTGGAGATTTATTTTTCTCACTTAAGCTTAGACATTAAAACCATGAATATAGACTATGACCTAAAATAGCTAAAAAATGGGAAAATTAATATTTACTCTTCCACCTCAAACCAATCTTATTGTGAGATGTCAAAGAAAAGTGCTATTTTGATTCTATATGCTTTCCCTCCTTTTTTTGTAAGCTGTTTTTGCTCATATGGCAATTTAGATAAAGACAAAGGGACTTGATAAGACAGAAGGATATACTTTAGTTCTGTTTATTGATAGTTTCATTCAAAAACTCTTATAAAAATGCTTTGGAAAATGAAAGGTGAAAATTGTCATGTAATGAATGCAAGTAATTTGATATAATTCAATCATAGCTGTCTACTGTGATTATTATAATGCACCTGGGGAATGCAGCTGGCATTATAAACCTTGTGGTACACTGACTGCAAAAACATGCAAAGATAGAGTAATTGGCCAGAAGTTTTCTGCAGTTTTAGAAGGTAAGACATATTTTAATAATTTCCATGAAGAAACGCAAATTATACTGATACCTTAAAACGAAAATATTTTAGGATACTGACAATTCAGTATCTTACATTTTGTAATTTAATGAATAGTTGTTTATCTTAATATGATATTAATGTTTCTACATTAGAAATATTTTGTCTAGACATAAATTATCTATTTAACAGGAGAGAGAGAGAGAGAGAGAGAGAGATAGGGAGAACATAGCGATCTGATCGCATTGGCAATCTTTATACATTTCATTAGACAAGGTAGTTTGTTGAGAATGTAGTTTCAGAATGCAACATATAATATAGTCTCACTTGAATGGAGGCCAATTAACTATATCTCACAGTTAAAAATTACCTTATTCCTAGCATTACATATCTTAGAGAAAAAGAATGAAGTGACAAGAAAACAAGATGATACAGAAACTTTCCAAAAGTCACATCTGTGTTAAATCCCAGGCTTTGGGATATTTTCAGCCCATTTTATTATGATTTCTGTTATCTTCGTCTACCCTTGTGAAAGTAGATATTTGGAATTGGCATTCACATTTCAAGACCCATATTTATCCAAGTCTTGCATTATGTTCAACAGCGTGCTGTCATTAAAGTAGTAAATCATTTAAAATATTTTAGGAAACATATTAGAAAAAAATTAAATCAGCCAAAATTTCTAATTTCTCAGGTTTATATTCATTGCAAGAGGGTCTGAATCCTGTTCAATTTATTTTTCTTAACAAAACATCTTTATTTATTTATTTAACATCTTTATTGGAGTATAATTGCTTTACAATGGTGTGTTAGTTTCTGCTGCATAACAAAGTGAATCAGCTCTACATATACATATACCCCCATATCTCCTCCCTCTTGTGTCTCCCTCCCATCCTTCCTATCCCACCCCTCTAGGTGGTCACATAGCACCTCACTTATCTCCCTGTGCTATGCAGCTGCTTCCCGCTAGCTATCTATGTTACAACTGGTACTGTATATATGTCCATGCCACTCTCTCACTTTGTCCCAGCTTACACTTCACCCTCCACGTGTCCTCAAGTCCATTCTCTCCATCTGCGTCTTTGTTCCTGTCCTACCCCTAGGTTCTTCAGAACCATTTTTTTTTTTTTTAGATTCCATATATATGTGTTAGCTTATGGTATTTGTTTTTCTCTTTCTGAATTACTTCACTGTATGACAGACTCTATGTCCATCCACCTCACTAAAAATAACTCAATTTCATTTCTTTATATGGCTGAGTAATATTCCATTATATATATGTGCCACTCTTCTTTATCCATTCATCAGTCAATGGATACTTAGGTTGCTTCCATGTCCTGGCTCTTGTAAATAGAGCTGCAATGAACTTTGTGGTACATGACTCTTTTTGAATTATTGTTTTCTCAGGGTATATGCCCAGTAGTGGGATTGCTGGGTCGTATGGTAGTTCTATTCTTAGTTTTTTAAGGAACTTCCATACTGTTCTCCATAGTGGCTGTTTCAATTTTATATATTTTTCACTAAGAGTATGCTGTTGTTTTGCTATTATCTACTTCATTTCATGGAACCATTGAAGTAAGTTTACAAAGGTACAATGTAGTTTCAGCAAATAGAGATGAACTGCGGGTCATTTTTACACACAGGCTGTTATGCTAAGTGCCCAGACAGTGCTCCCTTCCTGGATGAGAACACCATGAAATGCGTCAGTTTGTCTGAGTGCAGCTGCTTCTATAATGACATCATACCTGCTGGTGGAGTGATCCAAGATAACTGTGGGAGAATATGGTAAATTCTCTAACTGTCCAGTATTTCTGGTTCTTCCATTTTTATTTAGAAAACAATTAAGAAAAAAAATCAGTGAATATATTTTTTAACTGTTATTTCTAAATGGGAAGGTCAGCTTTAGGTTCAGTTTTATATCACTTATGTTGGTTATTTTGTGTTTTCAGTAAATCCACATATCAACAAATGGTTTGTTAAATCTTATACTTAGTGCATAAGACAGAACAGAAAATGTCACTATGTACTTTTGGGTAAAAAGAAAGTTTTCATTCCATAAATGTAAGATCATGTTTATAGGCTTTCAGACAGTGACATGGAAGTAAAGAAGGGAGGTCTGTACTAGAGCGGCATGGCCATCAAAAAAAAGTCATGTTTGAAACTTAAAATTTAAGAACTAACTTTACAGCTTGACTCCAAACATTCCTTTAGGTCCCAAGAACTCCTCAGTGAAAAGATTAGGAAACAGTACATGAAAAATACAAAAAAAAAGTTTGAATCCACAGCATGCTCTTGGGGAAACAGTTATTTACTGTTCTCTTATTTGGTTCTGTTTTGATTTTCACGGTTAGACAATTTGTTATTTTAAATTTGGGAGATGTATGTAATTAGGAGCTAAAAATTTCAACCTAATTCTTGTTTTTTATTTTGATTGTTTATTTTTTGTTTATAATTTAACTTTCAGCTATTGCATCGCAGGAGAGTTGGAGTGCAGTGGTGAGTCACTATGTTTTACTCTAATCAATTTAGGAAAGATGAGGTAAAGGGTTTGGAATCTTTTCATATCATCAACAGCAAAGGAGTAAGTACTTAATGCTTTAGACTGCTTCTCAGTGGATTGAGACTATTCCGTTTCAGGGTATTTGTTCATATTGAGTCAGTTCAAAACCAATGCTGTCAAGGCACTTCGAACCACTGGTAGATGGGGCAATTCTCCTGCCACACTCCTGCCTGTCTGTAGGTTCTGGGAATTAAGGGAGTGAGACATCAACTAAAATAATTTAATAAAGGGATGGAGTGGAAGGTGAGGATTATATAGATAGAATTCAATACTTGAAGGATTACTCATGTGCAACATATATCTTAAAAGAAATTTCAATAAGCTTCCAAAGAATATATAAACGACTCCTGTTTTGCATTTGAAATTGCAAGAAGTGAAATAAAAAAGGCCAGATAACTCATAGGCAACTTGAGTTTTAGATTTTCTTTTCACAATTTTTCATTCCTGTCAATAATAGTAATTTATGATTATTTCAGAAACTGCTCCTACAAATTCAACATTTACAGGTAAAATCATCATTATGGTTTAAATGTGTATTTCTGATGTCTTTTTATGGATAATCATTTATAGTTTCACATGAATCTGTGCCAGCAAAAGATATGCTGGTAAATATGCTGATATAAAATTTCAAATTAAAATTAACAGTTATTGGGCTTCCCTGGTGGTGTAGTGGTTGAGAGTCTGCCTGCTGATGCAGGGGACACGGGTTCGTGCTCCAGTCCGGGAAGATCCCACATGCTGCAGAGCGGCTGGGCCCGTGAGCCGTGGCTGCTGAGCCTGCGTGTCCGGAGCCTGTGCTCCGCAACGGGAGAGGCAACAACAGTGAGAGGCCCGCGTACCTCAAAGAAAACAAACAAACAAATAAAATTAACAGTTGCTAGAAAATATGTCAAAATATTATTTCATTATACTCCTGTGATTTAAGTTAGAAATATGATTAGAACGTACAATAGGTATTGTATGCTTATTAGTTAAATATAATCATCCAAAGCTTGATATTTTTAGATGATAATTGGAACAAGTGGAATGAAAAAGAAGTAAATGTGATCTCCTGTGAAGTAAATATTTTGAAATCATGATTATACTGGGAGATGACTTGAAAACATAGAAATAAAAGTTAATTTATTTTTCTTAACTCATGTATTTGTTGCAAGCTATAATTTGTTGCAAGTATTTCAGTTATGTCCATTCAAGAGCGTATTGGGCAAAATGCAGTTTAACTTTGGGTTTGGAACTTGTAATACTTTGGTGATATAAGTGTACTTAGAGTTGCTACAGTACACTTACACATTCCTGTCTTGTATGATTCAGGGATAGAATTTATTTCCTGTTGATCATTATTTGGAGGTGGTGTCAATTAAGAGATAGTATAGTAAATTGGAAACCTTAGGTTTTGGTAACGTATTTAGTATGTGGTCATCAGTGAAGTGTTATTTATTTTAGTTATCATTGGTTACTTTCCTAAAGCTAAGGTATCACATGTCAGGGTTTGTCTTGGCCCTGTTTTATAAAGTTCCTGTGAGATTTTGGTTAAGTGGTAATAACAGAAAATAGTTATTTTTGTCGGGCATACAGTAAGTATACAGTGGTATTCATATTGATTTAATGAAAGATTGTTTTGTTAATTAACCTCTGCATACAACTTCAGAAACTTTTATTAAGTTTATGGCAACTAGTTTCTTGAACTAAATTTTCCAGCAAAATTATTTAAGTAATTTATTTTCATAAATATTTTCTTCCCTAAACAGTTTCTACTACAACAGCTACCTCCATACTAAGCGCTGAAGCAGGTAAAAAAAAAGGCTTATTTGTTTTTTAGCTTCTAAATAAGCATCAAAGTGAATTTGCAACTCAGGCATTTGGCCCTTTTCTCAATTTTGTCATTCTCTATTTATTTATTTTCTAAATGCCAAATAGCAGGGTCTACATCCCAACTGTGATATTGGTGAAGAACCTCTTCCCTATTCAGAGATCATGTGTCCTAAAAATAACATTCTACATATTACTAATTTGGAAGAAAGTGGCTACAGAAGAAAATTCTATGCTAAATTCTTTGAAAATAATTTATATTTTCTTTTCAACTGACACCAAGGAATTTTAACTTTAATTGAATCATTTGTAATTAAAGCAGTGATCAGAGAAGTACAGGAGTACTTCTGGTAAATGAATTTAACTGACATTTCATTATTTATTTGAATTATAGAGATATCTAACCCATGTCTAAATAAATACTTTGTAATCTTGCCTTTCAACACCATTTTAACATACATTTCCGAAAATTTGTCTCCTCCTTTGTACAGCAATTACACTGGTGACCAGTAGCTCAGGCACAGGCAAGCCATAATCATCAACCACAACTTAATCAAGAGGGTATTAAAAAAAAATTCCAAAACTTCCTTCTTCAGTATTATACCTTTGCAGTTACACTTTTCTGGGAAGATTTTTGTTTTTTTTTTTAACGTCTTTATTGGAGTATTATTGCCTTACAATTGTGTGTTAGTTTCTGCTTCATAACAAAGTGAATCAGTTATACACATACATATATATCCATATCTATTCCCTCTTGTGTCTCCCTCCCTCCCACCCTCCCTATCCCACCCCTCTAGGTGGTCACAAAGCACAGAGCTGATCTCCCTGTGTTATGCGGCTGCTTCCCACTAGCTATAAGTTTTACATTTGGTAGTGTATATATGTCCATGCCACTCTCTCACTTTGTCCCAGCTTACCCTTCCCCCTCCCCGTATCCTCAATTCCATTCTCTAGTAGGTCTGCGTCTTTATTCCCGTTTTACCCCTAGGTTCTTCATGACCTTTTTTTTTTTTTTTTATTCCATATATATGTGTTAGCATACGGTATTTGTTTTTCCTTTCTGAGTTATTTCACTCTGTATGACAGACACAAGGTCCATCCACCTCACTACAAATAACTCAATTTCATTTCTTTTTATGGCTGAGTAATATTCCATTGTATATATGTGCCACATCTTCTTTATCCCTTCATCTGTTGATGGACACTTCGGTTGCTTCCATGTCTTGGCTATTGTAAATAGAGCTGCAATGAACATTGTGGTAATTACCCTTTTTGAATTATGGTTTTCTCAGGATATATGCCCAGTAGTGGGATTGCTGGGTCATAAGGTAGTTCTATTTTTAGTGTTTTGAGGAACCTCCATACTGTTCTCCATAGTGGCTATATCAATTTACATTCCCACCAACAGTGCAAGAGGGTTCTCTTTTCTTCACACCCTCTCCAGCATTTATTGTTTGTAGATTTTTTGATGATGGCCATTCTGACCGGTGTGAGGTGATACCTCATTGTAGTTTTGATTTGCATTTCTCTAATGATTAGTGATTTTGAGCATCCTTTCATGTGTTTGTTGGCAGTCTGTATATCTTCTTTGGAGAAATGTCTATTTAGGTCTTCTGCCCATTTTTGAATTGGGTTGTTTGTTTTTTGATATTGAGCTTCATGAGCTGCTTGTATATTTTGGAGATTAATCCTTTGTCAGTTGCTTCATTTGCAAATATTTTCTCCCATTCTGAGGGTTGTCTTTTGGTCTTGTTTATGGTTTCCTTTGCTGTGCAAAACTTTTAAGTTTCATTAGGTCCCATTTGTTTATTTTTGTTTTTATTTCCATTTCTCTAAGATGTGGGTCAAAAAGGATCTTGCTGTGATTTATGTCATAGAGTGTTTTGCCTATGTTTTCCTCTAAGAGTTTGATAGTGTCTGGCCTTACATTTAGGTCTTTTATCCATTTTGAGCATTTTTCACAGAACTGGAACAAAAAATTTCACAATTTATATGGAAACACAAAAGACTCTCAATAGTCAAAGCAATCTTGAATAAGAAAAACAAAGCTGGATGAATCAGGCTCCTGGACTTCAGACTATACTACAAAGCTACAGTAATCAAGACAGTATGGTACTGACACAAAAACAGAAATATAGATCAATGGAACAGGATAGAAAGTCCAGAGATAAACCCATGCACATATGGTCACCTTATCTTTGATAAAGGAGGCAAGAATATACAATGGAGAAAAGACAGTCTCTTCAATAAGTGGTGCTGGGAAAACTGAACAGCTACATGTAAAAGAATGAAATTAAAACACTCCCTAACACCATACACAAAAATAAACTTGGAAGATTTTGTTTTCTGTTTTTGTTTTGTTTATTTTTAACATTTTAGAAGAAAACTTTGGAAAAAAATGTTATACAAACTGATAAGAGTCTTTGACTTTTATTTGTGGTCTATAGATTTTAAACTTTAATTTTACATTTTGACATCTATGTACTATTTAATCAAATTTCTCTGAAACATTAATTTCAAGTTAATCCATCTTATATATTGCCATAGATGTTATCAGTAACACAATTTTCCTTCCACATGAAACATTTTTTTCCATTATGTTCTCCAATTCAGCAGCTTCCATTCCAGAGATTACTACATCAAGCAGTGAAATAATCCGTAGGTGAATCAACAAGCCTATAAACTGACAAATATAGGCTTTTACATATATTAAAATTGTTTTTTACATATTAGAATCAACAGACCCACTCTCCTATACTTAATACCTTTTTATTCCCCTCAATTAACATTATTTTTCTTTCTCCTCTTATTTATTACTTTCTCCAATCTGTCTGTCTCTGTATATACATATATATTTTAAAACATAATATTTTATTGAGGTATAATTGGCATGTTAACATTTTATTAGTTTCAGGTGTTCAACATAATGATTTGATATTTATATATATTGCAAAATGATCAGCACAAGAAGTCTAGGTAACATCCTTGAAGTCACAGATAATGGTTTGCCATCCTTGTATTCCCAATTGCACTTAGTCCCAAGCTATATAATAGTTAGCATTCAATAAATATTTGTAGAATGAATGGATGATTCTTCTTTTCCCTGTCCCAAATTTTAATTCAGGTTTTTTCTTTTGGCACAGAATTTCTAGTGAAGATTATACTATTGATTAGATATTATTTATACTGATGAATCTTATAGTTCATACATTTCATTCATTGGAGCTAATATTTCTTCTCTAGAATACAAAGAGATAGTGTAAAATCAAGACTACTTTTTGATTATGATTTTATATCATGATATAGAATTATGACTAATTTGCTGTACTTTTGTAATTTTTAGTGTTGTCTGATTTATTTGGTACTTAATACATGTTGCTTATATTCAAAGGGCAAACATGTAACTTTATCACCATCATAGTGTGGAATATCATTAAAATGCCCAACTGACATGTTTAATTTCTATCAAACTTTCTCTTATGTTGAATATCATTAGCAGGTCTGGCTCTTTCAATGTAATTTTAGAAGAACTGACACATTTCAGAAGTATTTTTCTTTATTCTATAATTGTAAATTTATTTCTGAAGGCTTAGTAAAAATTTCATCCTGGTAGTTGTTTAATATACACTGCATAATGATATTCTATCTATGTATTATCTCAGCCATAAACAATGGACTGAATTCCTAATTCTCAGCCTTGTTCTGTGTCTAAGATAAGTAATTTGGTTCAGTTATATAGGTCTCTTTCAGTTAAAATAAAATCATTCACTCAGCTACTAAAACTTTTGAATCTTGAGGCCATTTAATGTATTCTTGACTGTTGATTTGATGAATTGTGTAGTCATGCATGAGTCATAAGCAATTTGGATAACTATTTCAATATGATGCTGATATCTGCATCTTGCATTAAAAGTAGGCAATCAGAACTAAGAAGACTGGTTTGATTTTTTCCAGTTTATACATATATTTTCTTTTATTGCCTTTTCTTCCCCAAGCATTCAGTTTTGAACATAATATTCTGGCAATTAATTTTGTCAACATTCTGTATTGTAGCAAGCAAACTTTTCACATAAAACAGAAGGCCATGAGTAGATTACCTAGAGCTTTCGTTACTTCATCATTAGCCACTGATAAGGTTTTAGATGTAAAATTAATCTTAAAACACTACAAAAATCTCATCAATTGCTTCCACCATAGCATTTAAAAAAATTATAAATCTAATGTAGAGTTTAATTATAGGGAAGATTAGCTAGGTGATGTTTTCCTGAATTCATTTGGTATTATTTATGACTTTTAATGCTTAACCTTACCAAATCCTAATGTTTTATTTAATTTCACTGAAATTCCAGCAGACATTTCATGCTATTAGTATAATATTATTTTACTAAAACATCATCTTAGTACTGTATTATAATATATAACAAATAATAACTATTAATGAGTGATTACTATATTTTAGTCATTATATCATGAACTTTTTATTCAATTTCTCATTAAATCTCAACAATCCCCTGATTCCACAATCCTCCACAACACAGGTGCCCTCATATTTTACAGGGGAGGAGATACAAAGAGCTTAAATATTTTTTCCAGCATTACAAATATCAGAAGAAAAAGGGATTTTCTGGTATGATGTAGAGAGAAAAAAGAGTTGTCTTTTCCTTTTTATTTGTGAAAGCAAGAAATTATAAAATCAGAAATCATAATTTCACAGATGTGAATCATTAAGGCTTGCCCCAACGTTAATCTGAAATCAGGAGAAAAAAGTAGTTTTTAGAAGTTTATTTTTTTCATGTTAAAATTCTGTAAATGTGCCACAAATCAAATAAATTTTAAGTAGATTTAGTCAAATAATCCTAATATAGAGAAAACATTGATTATCAAGTTATAGAATCATTAGTAACTTTCCAGAATTTTTGGATAATGTAGATGTAGCTTTATATTGATACTGGAATAAATTAGTAATTGCTTATTTCCCAGA